CATTTCCTGCATTACTGCAGACATATCTGGATCCTGAGGACCGACACATCACATAGCATCTTTAAGGAGCTGATCAGTAGAGATGCGGGAATGGACATGATCAGTTTAAGGCTGAAAAATCCAATCAGTTAGCGACTGCTAGTCTTTGGGTCGAACAAAAGAACTAAAGCAACAAGTATGAATGTCTCATCAAATGATAGGGTTTACAGCATGAGAGAAATCACTGCTTATTTGACGCCATTGTAATGCTTAACTCTGAGGACGATTTATGACGATACCAGTAGGAAGTTTGTATCCTGAAAATCAGCTGTAGAACGAAATGTGGATACCGGTAAGGCTGAAACTATGGCGGTCGACTAACCACTCAATATTGCCTTATTGATAGCAGCGTATCTCACCACATTCATTGCTCATTTGTGCGTCAGTCACTTATTGTATGAAGGAGCTCGATACTCATCTCAAAATCCTTCTCAGTACCGATTAGTATATTCGTATGTTCGTTGTTCTAGTGAAAGAACGGAAAAGCACGGATTGTTTCCCATTGCGTAATCAAACAGGATTGCATGAACAACTGACAAAACATAACCATGATACTCGCCTTGGGGTAGTCACCACATATTAGCTATCCGATTTCGCCAACAATCAAAAGATTACGATTTTTTATGGCGCATTTACTCGGCTTAAACGCACTACTCCCTCTTGCTACCGGATGTTTACGTAGGCCAATACTCGTGGTAGCTGAGCTTTAGCCATGCACTGGATGCAAAGCCGTATCTCTGAGTTGGCCTGAACAGAAGTGCGTTCAAGTACCGATTAAATCTGCAGTTATCCGTGGAACATATGCACAGATAAAAACAAGCCGAACAAGAGATAACAACAGATTTTTAGTCCTCTTATCCGTGTTGCTGATCGCCGATCATTTTTGAGGCAGTTCTTGACAAGAAGGCTTTTCAGCATCAAGCGGTGGACAGTGAATTTTTCTCCTCCAAATTACCACAAGTCAAGTCTCCTTTTCTTCGTCCCCGGTTTTAATAGAGCAATATTCACATTCTCTTAGTCGCGACCGTTCGGCTTTCAATTGATGGTTTTTGTATTTGTTCAGAAAAGTAAGAATAAGTACTGCAGAAGTAATTTTTAAACAGCCTTACCGACCGATTCGTTTTTTGTACTGTCGTTTATTATTGTTGAATTTAGTGGTGGTAGGTTTCTTCTGTTGGGAATATTAGTTTCTCCATGCCACGAGCTGCCGAAAAGCGTGTACCTACTATCTGCTGCAGCCACAGGCTTGATCTGATTTTGAGATTCTTCCACTAGTCTCACGGTATTATTCTACCGTACCTCATCGTATGCACGTATGCATCATAAAAGGCTGGCAAAAGCGAGGACACCACATGGAGAACGCCGACCAGGGGGCTAGCGTGCAGCAAAGTTAAGCAAGGTAGAGGTATATCTGGTTTCCTTTTGCGATGTAGTAGCCGGTGGCTTAAAACAAAACTGATGAAATGCCGCGAATACAACGGAAGCGGACGTCACACACCGGAGACGTCCTGCTAATGCAAACGCCCGAAGAAGATGATCTTAACAAACATAAAACACACAACAAACAGACAAGGCTACCAACTGCTGAATGGTAGAGTTTCGAAAATTTAACACCTACGATGCAAGTAAACATTTCCTGATTCAGGCTCTGATCGGTGCTGCAGTGAAGGACTCATTGCCGGTCGTAGGAATGAAGACCTAACCATCTTTAGTTGGAAACCGATACATCTCCTGGTTCTATGGTTAGCACCAGTACAGTCATATCTTTCGTGCCGCAAACTATAGTACGAAAAGACAATGTCCTTCATAAGTCATTCACGGCATGTTCTGTTATTAGTTTATGAAGTTATAATCATTTTTTTTAGTTTTATGGAAAGGCCCGGTCAGTCGACGTGTCTGCTAGCGATGTCGCTTCCAGCAAATCTCTGACTAGAATTTTGTTTTCGTTTGAACCGTCTCTTCAAAGATGATCATGAGTTAGACGCGTCAATCTCCTGGTCCGTTCCTGTCTACTAACAAGGAATTCCGGTGTCCCATTCCACACCTGAATATTTAAATGAGAAATTCATCATTTAAAAACTGCCGCAACAGCTGAGGTAGAAGTGAAGCGCGTGTTTTATGCGACCGATGACGGAACCTCATCGTCTGTGCTCCTGCCTGACTTTTGACCGCTTCCAACCACGCAACGTTGCAGAGAACTGAGCTGTCATCGCGTGCAACGAACTATGAAAAATGACGGTAGTTTTTGTGCCTACTCATTCAAGAAAGCTATTTTTACTCGCTTCATTGGAAACGCGAAATATGCATCGTTTCGCTTGCGCAGTTCCTCGCAGTTAATTACCGGCCCGTCTCCTCCTCTCGATTTACAGACGGCAAGGAGATCGAACCTGATTATACTTGCTCAGATTTTAATGGAGGCGGAAATTTTATTAAGTCAATTAAGGACATGGATTTAATTAAAAGCATATCAATTTCTGATACCGAGTTTACTCAGCATAAGCTCCCATTCTTCTAGTTGCCTAAGGGGCAGTGCCATTTAAGCAGGCCAAGGCAGCACGCTATTTGAGCGCCGGCTAGGAAATGTCAAGGCTGCTATTTCTGAGCATATAGTCGTGTTAGAAGAATAGGCAAAGTGATTACTCGTTGGCATCCATATTCGGAGCGATTTACAGAAGTTGGTCGTGTAAAATGCTATAAGCACCCGACCGAGCATTGTATAAAAGAAAAACAAAAATATCGCAAATGCGTTGTGTAATAATTTAGTCTCTACCTCCGGCATGACTTGCACGTCTCACCATTTATCACCCTCAGAAATTGCTGCTTTGCCTCAATTACGACATATGCGTAATACTCTGTCATTACTCATTAGAGGTCGAACGATGA